CTGAAGGACTGGTAGAGCCTCACAGAGGAGAGGGATGAGGGAGAGAGACTCACAGGAGCTTGTAAGGGGTGGTGGAAGACTTCAGGAGACACATCATAGGACCATTCAGGTGTACAGCAGAATAGGCACACACATGTGACCCTGACAATAAGCCCACTCACCACCCAACCTCACTTTTGTAAAAGGGAAAAAGAAGTGGAGAGAAAGAAGTCAGGATCAAATGAGAATTTATACCAAATGCACAGAGAAAAAAATCTGGCAATGATCATTTATCTCAAAGTAGGTAAGTTTTGTTTTTGTTTGCTATGGACACTAGAGCTTAAGAGCTAAGTCCGGCTCGGTTGCAGAGAAAAAGGCTCTATTTTGCACAACGAGTTGATGGCTGAAATTCACACCCAAGAATCAGATCAACGAAATTGCTCCATTCCTTGCTCACTACATTTCTGCTTTCCATTTCTGTAGCTGCTTCCTCTGGTCATTGATGTGTCAGCTCCCGCTGTGCCTCAGCCCTGCTGCTCCCCGGAAGCCCCACCTGCCTTGCCAATCACAAAATGTCCCCAGCACCCCCTCACCCAGCCTGGGTTGGCAGTGGCCCCACAGGACACATGGGAAAAATGATCTTTAAGTCTCAGATGTCTCATGAATAAAGTGGGTGGGATGGTGCCAAACCTGATTGAAAAGTGGGGAATCAGCTGACCTTTCCCAGGGATTAGAGCATGACCAGCTGTGTAGGGGTTTGGTGATACATTAAGGCAGTAATGCATGTATGGTACCAGCAGTAACATTATTTTAAATAATAAAATAGGTGCTCAGGAAACAAATAATTATGTTGTAATTATTATTTTGTTCCTCTGGTTCTAAGATCTCTAATGTTGCAAAATACATATATGCATGGAAATGAATGCAGAGTTGTACTTAACAAAGCTGGGTCAGATGGGGGCAGCTAGAAAGTTAGCTAAACTTAACAGCCTGGAAGACCAGGCATGGTGACTCATGCCTGTAATTCCAGTGTTTTAGGGGTCTGAGGAGGACAGGATTGCTTAAGCCCAGGAGTTTGAGGCTGCAGTAAGCCGTAATCGTGCCACTGCACTCTGGCCTGAGCAACAGAGCAAGACTCTAAGAATAAAGATAAAGCAAAAAGACTGCCTGCATGAACTTTCAAAAATTCCCATTGTCCAGGGTGCTCCACAGCAATTACACCAGAATTTCTAGGGATAGGTTCCAAATATGAGTAATTTTTTAAACCCCCGGGTAACTCCAATGTGCTGACAAGGTTAGGACCTAGCACTGCAGTTTAGAGTCTTGCTTCTCAAAATGTGATCTTGGACAAGCAGCATCAGCCAGCCACCCATGGGAGGGTGTTCGTTAGAAATGTGAAATCTAATTTACATTCTCACCAACTACCTACTGGGTACTACGCTCACTGCCTGGGTGACGGATCCGTATCCCAAACCTAAGCATCACACAATATACCCATGTAACAAATCTGCACTTGTATCCCGCCCTCGTATCTAAAATAAAAGTTGAAATTTTGTAACAAATAAATAAGAAATGGAAAAATCTCGGGTGTCAACCCAACTCTACTAAACCAGATCTGCATGGGAACAAGTTCCCATCCTCCTAGGTTTTGCACAAGGACTAAATGAGCCTATGCATGTCAAGGACTGTTGCAGATAAGCCCCTGCTGGGACATGGGAGCTGTACTCTCTCTGGCTGTCTAAGCTTTGGCGATCCCTGGTCCTTGGTTTCCTCTCCAGTAAAGCAGGACATTGGGCTAGATGATTTCAGCCCTGGCATCTGATCAGTCTGTGGCCGTCTGCCCAAAGCAGCCCCCGATAAGCCATGGTCCCTACCCCGCCCCCACCACAGCCCTGGCCGGGATCCCCAGGGTGTCCTGCTGAGGAGTCCAACCCAGGAGCGACTGAATCTGGCAAGAGCTAAAAATTAATTCCCTTCAAATCAATAATTTGCAATTAAGCACAGAAGACACTAAAGCCAAGGGGGGCCAGCTTCTGGAGAGAGGACAGCTGAGCACTTCAAGCCTTTAGAACTGAAAAGGGGGGAAGCCCAACCAGTTCCAAGCAAACAAATGAACATTCGCTTCCATTGTTCGTGAAGAAGCAAGCAGAGGGACTTAAGTGGTACTTGAAGAGTGGGGGAAAAACAAATCAAGGGATTATATCAGCAGGACTCAAAGCCAGGAGCTGATTTACTCTCAGCAGCCCTCCTTGCTCACACACTTCCCACGGCTCGGCGCCCCCACCCCACCACGCTGGGGCCCTCTGAAGCCTTTACAACAGTGCTGCGCAGTTCGCTGGCTTCAGGCAGCACCCAGCTCATAAAAGAATTGGAAGCCTGCCTGGGTCCCTGCCCCATCCTCAGCAGCAAGTGTCAGACCAGCCTGGGTGAGCGCCAGGCGGGCAGTGCCAACGGGGAGTGCAGACATAACAGAAGCAGAAGCTCGATGGAGCTGGGATGGTAAGACAGTTGATGCTCCACAGTGATCGCTGCAATCTGGGGCCCAGAGCCATCCCATAGGTCTCCAGAGATGTGTGGGGTATGCAGACATTCTTGAAACAAAATGTAAATGTGTTTAATTTTAGAGGTAAATGGATACCATGCAGCCCTGGCGGGTGGAAGAGGCAAAAATAGAGTATAAAGAACCACAGCTCTGAAAAGACAGGAGATTGATTGCAGAGAGACTGTGAAACCAAATGCTGGTTTTCTGAGTCTCCACAAACCACAGAAGAACAAGGAAGGGAATGCCATGTTTTCTCCCCTAAGAATTAAAAGATGACTTGCCTGAGTCCTTAATAGGTCAAAGCTAAACTCCTTGCCAGAAAGGACAGGGCAGGGAATGATACCTATTGAAGACCTACTATGTGCTGGGGTCTAGGGGCTTTACAATAGCATCTCATCTAGTCCTTACAGTCCCACCTGGAGGTAGATTTCAGTATGGCCTTCATTTTACCTGGGAGGAAATTGCCCAGGATTGGTGGCTCAAATCGGAAATAGAAATTGAGCTCCACTCTACGGAAAACACTCATCTAGTGGGCGAGTAGGAAAAGCACAGTTCCCAATACTAAAAGGTAACATCATCCAGCAAGGGCCACAAAAGTAGAGCTGAAAAGAATAGTGGCCTAAGTGTGAAAAGGGAGAGATCAGCCAGGATTTGACAGCACAGAAAGCACAGTGCACGTTAGGGTTGAGGGCACCTTGGAAGAAAACATGGTTTGAAGGGTGAAGGGGAGAAGAAATGTGCCAAGTGAAGGTAGCAGCTGGAACAAAGCCAAGGAACTAAGGGCAAACTGGATCTGATAGTATGAAGGCCATTCTTGAAGCATTTTTCTGAGGATACTGTTATAACCTGGAATAAAAGGAATTGGTGCTATAATGCTGTTGTCCAAATTTTTCGATTCTGACAGGAATTCTAAACATAGGATATCATAAGGAAATATAACTATTTAGTCATTTGACAAGTATTTGCTTGTCTTGTGCCAAGACACTAGGGCACACAGCTGCTGGCTTGGTACTTTGCTAAGAGCTCAACCTCCTGCAGAAAACATGGGAGCACGTTCCAGTCTCCTAACAGGTGATGCAGAACTCTAGGCTGAGACTCTTACCCAACTATAACTATGTCAGATCCTGGCATGCTGTACTGTCCTGTTCTCCTAAATGTAGAGCTAGGCTCCGGGGAAGGTTCCAGGAAACTCATTCTAGTCCACTGGAGTTACTTCTGTGAGAACCCCTGGAGAAGAGCCAGATGTGTCAGCAGTCAACTTTACATACTGGCCAAACCCAAGTCGGTGTCCAAAGAAAAGCAGCAAGAGACACCAGGAAGAACCTGAAGAGAAGTTCTGTGACTCTGTTCTCTGCGTGGTGTAGGGAGGAGGCTGACTGAGACTTCGCTCTTGTCTTGCCACTACTTCCTCCAGCCTCTGGAGCAAGACATTCCATCTTGAAGGAGGAAAAATTCTGGTCTACAATGTTTAAATTTCGGAACATTGTATCGGATGGAGCATTGTTTTAATGGGTGCAGCACTTAATGGAACAAAAGGTCCCAGGGCACAGGAATGCGGCATCTTAATACAATGTAGCAGTCAGGTGAGGTATCCCAGGTTTAGGGTGCGTTCATCTTTTCTCTTCTCCTCCTACCTCCCTCCTCTATGTCAGAGTGGAAATGATCCCTGAACTGCTCTGAACAGTTCTGTTTTCTCTTTTCATATTCTATTTTCTCTCCCCTTTGAATGCTCTCTCTCTCTCTCTCTCTCTCTGGTCAAGGACATCTGGGAGGGATAGCATAGGCCAATTCCCCTCTCATCACAGAAGCACTGAACTGTCTCTTCAGGGCTCCTTTTTACTGGGTCTGACTTGTTTTCCTATTGCAGATGTAACATTAAGACTTATATTTGCATGAGGAGAGGAAAATACAAGAGTTCACACTATTTATTTATTTATGTATTTAGAGACAGAGTCTTGCTCTGTCACCGAGGCTGGAGTGACAGTGGTGCCATCTCAGCTCACTGCAACCTCCGTACCAGGGTTCAAGCAATTCTCCTGACTCACCCTCTCTAGTAGCTAGGATTACTGGTGCATGCCACCACGCCAAGCTAATTTTTGTATTTTTAGTGGAGACGGGGTTTCACCATGTTGGCCGGGCTGGTCTTGAACTCTTGACCTCCAGTGATCCGCCCATCTTGACTTCCCAATTATTTATTTTTGAGGCTATGTTGCCCTGCCTGGTATAGGGGAAACCGTGGAGGGGACTCATCCCAGTTTCTAGAGTCCTACATTGGGGTAGGGAATGCTGAGTGGTGTCCTCCTCACTGCCATGCTTTGTCTCTCCGTGTAGCTCCCTCCTTTGAGGAAGACCTCACGAGGAGAATTACCTAGACCAAAGCAGAATTCAAGTATTTTGGAGCACCCTAGGCAAATAGAATGGTTACTGCTTCCTAAGCCAAGCCCTCAATAAGACTCAGTGTCTGGGATGCACCACTCACCTGGAATCATCTACTCCCTGGGAATTGAGGAAAATTGGAGGTTCTATGCAAATTCCCTCTTCCCGCTTCTCACCCCCTTCTGCAACTGAAGCACACACACATGTCCACACACACAACGCAGCTCTACACAAATTAGATTGAGACGTTTTCTGGAAAAACAATCCATGGTTCTGTTTCCATGGAAGCAGTCTCAGGTCCCCAGTGGCAGCAAATGGCAGGCAGACGGCAGTGAGGGAGCTCATGGTGCCGCTCTGCGCCCTCTCCTCACCGCCCAGCTGAGCAGAATGCACCGCAGGAAAGTGGGAGGCAGCGTTGAGCTGTACCAGAAAAACCAAGCCTCCAGGGAGACAGTGAACCCCAGCTGTGCCCCCTCTTTTGGGGCAAATGTACATCTGGGCACTCTGGGCATGGCTCCAGCCAATCAGCCAGGCTTATCCTCCCACAGCTTCTCACAAAAGCCTGCTCACTCTGAGCAGATGGCAGTGCCAAGACAGAGCCTCCACCGAGATGGAGGCCACCCATGGGGCTGGCGCTGCAAGAACATTGCTGCTCCATGCAAATGTCCCGTGTCCCACTCCCATCTGTAAGGCATCCTGCTTCCCTCAGCTCCTAAAGTGAGTACCCCAAAGTGCAGTTTGTCTCCTATGAATGGTCCCCAAGATGATGTGAGGTGGGGCATTCATGAATATTCTCTAAAAATTTTAAGTGACATATTTATTGTAATGTGTATTAGAGGGGAAAAAAGGGGGAGCTGGCCATGGTGGCTCATGCCTATAATGCCAGCACTTGAGGAGACCAAGGTGGGAAGACCCTTTGAGGCCAGGAGTTCAAGACCAGTCTGGGCAACACAGGGAGACCCCATCTCTACAAAAAATACTGTTTCTTTAAATGAAAACACTGACCACAATTTCGTCAATAGTATTGCTTAACCTAAGACTAGAGTAGATGTTTAAATAAAGTGAGTCCATTTTGAGGAATTAGGAAGTAAACAATGGGGTAGACATTTCACAGATACAACAGCAAGAGAACATGACAACTGCATGTGCATGAAGACTGGGAAACCTGTGTTAGGAAAAGATGACCAGGTCTAATGTCCTCTTTTAGAACTGCCCAACCTTCCAAGCAAGAGGGAAAAATGCTTGAGGTGACCGGTACGAGGTCATGGCTCTGGAAAGGGGACCCCATCAAACTCTCCTGTGGGGTCAGTGTATTGGCGGCTCCCATTGCCTCCCCTAGTTGGCACCCAATGCCAATGCCCAGCACACTTTGCTGGGGCTCCCAAGAGCTGTGTCCAATAGGATGCTCAGCTTGTTGAATTCTATTTTATACTGACCATGAGCCTACCCTAAATCCATTTTCTGGCAAGCAAGACCAGACAATGCAGAAGGCCCACAGTTGAAAGGCTTCTTTGTCTCCTCACTTAGAACCATGACCTTGGAGCCAGCTCTAAGCAACCAGCAGTGTACTCCTTTCTCCCCAGCCACACCCTGGCTGCTCTCAGCATTTAAGATTCGAATGTGACTTCTTCTAAGAAGGCATCCCCACCCTACCCTGCCCGAACTGCTCTTCCCAAGGTCTCATCACCCCAAAATGTAGTCACAAAAGAAGGAATAAAAACAAACAAGAAGTAGAAGCTTCTAACTCCCTCTTCAAACCCAGCTCTGTATCAGCTCCGGCTGCCGTAACAAAATTCACAGACTGGGTGCGTCAACAACAAGCATTCCTATTCTCAGGGTTCTTAAGGCTGGAAGGCTGAGATCAAGGCACCAGCACGGCTGGGTTTTGCTGAGGGCCCTCTTTCTGGCTTTCAGACAGCAGCCCTCTCTCTATCTTCCCATGGCACCAATTCTCCAAGGCCAAGAATCCCTTCATGAAGGCCCCATCCTTATGACCTCAGGTAACCTAATTATCTCCTAAAGGCCCCGCCTCCAAATGCCACTATGCTGTGGGGTAGGGCTTCAGCATACAAATTTTCAGGCCACATGATTCAGCTTATAGCAACTGCTTTGAAGCTTCAGGAGAAACAGCAAGAACTGGACAATTAAGTCCCCACTGTAAGCTACGGTTGGCCCTCCATATCCATAGATTCCACATGCAAGGATATAACCAACCTCATAAAACAGTGGCCGGGCACGCAGCTGGCTAACGCCTGTGATCCCAACACTTTGGGAGGCTGAGGTGGGAGAATCACTTGCGCCCAGGAGTTCAAGACTAGCTTGGGCAATGTAGTGAGACTCCATCTCCACAAAAAAAAAGAAAGAAAGAAATTAGCTAGGCATGGTAGCATGTGCCTGTAATTCCAGCTACTTGAGAGGCAGAGGCAAAAGGGTGGTTTGAGCTCAGGAGTTTGAGTCTGCAGTGAGTTAGGATTGTACCACTGCACTCCAGTCCAGGTGACAGAGTGAGAGTGACCCTCTCTCTAAAAAACATTAAAAATAAATAAAATACTCAGCCATGCCACCAAGAGTGTGGTGGCTCACGCCTGTAATCCTAGCACTTTGGGAGGCTGGGGCAGGTGGATCACCTGAGGTCAGGAGTTTGAGACCACCCTGGCCAACATGGTGAAACCACATCTCTAGTAAAAATACAAAAATTAGCTGGGCATGGTGGTGCATGCCTGTAATTCCATCTGCTTGGGTGGCTGAGGCAGAACTGCTTGAACTTGGGAGGTAGAGGTTGCAATGAGCAGAGATCATACCACTGCACTCCAGCCTGGGTAGCAGAGCGAAATTCAAGAGAGAGAAAAGAAAGCAAGAAAAAAAGGAAGGAAGGGAAGGAAGGGAGGGAGGGAGAGAGGGAAAATATTCAGTAAAAAACTAAAAACAATAGGACAATAAAAATAATATAAATAAAAAACAATAACAATTTCTATAGCATTTACATTGTATTAGGTATCATAAGTTATCCACAGATGACAAGGTATACAGGAAGATGTGCATACTACATCATTTTATACAAGGGACTTGAGCATTCATAGAGTTAGGCATCCTGGTGGCGGAGCCTGGGACCAATCCCTGGTGGATACAAAGGAACAGCTGTATTACCAGTAACAACAAAAGTAGTGGTAAATGTGACTGAACTATCTAAACTCAACACAATTCTCTAAGGCAGGTATCATTTTTCCCATTGTATAGAAAACCATTTTAAGACTCAGATAGGCTGCGGGATTTGGCCAAGGAGTGGCAAGGCCAGTGCTCAAACCCCAGTCTATGCGACTCCAAATCTTGTTCTAGTTCATCGCTCGGCCGCCCCCTTTCCTGGTCTTCCTCAGACTCCACGGTGTCCTTCTGTGCCTCTTCAGGCCCCTCCCTACTTCCTCTGCGCATGTAGTCAGAAGGGGTCCCTAGAGAGCCCATCAATCTGAACCCCTGTAAAAGGCCATTTCCTCATAACACACCCTGAACATCTGTAAAAACAATTTCTTCTCAAGCTCACAACTCAACCTCATAATAAAAACTCAACATCCAATAGACCCTTAAGAAAAAAAAAAAATCCTGATGGCATTTTAACTCCTAGAGGGACTTAGTGATGTTGATTTCCCAGTTACTCTGGGAAGATGCTTGTCTCTTTAGGATAGGGTTATCTATGAGGCACAGGGATTTTTCTTTTTTTCCATTGGGAAGAGTTTGCTGGTGTTGCTGTAACAATCTACAAATATAAGGCATTTTAATTTATTTCTCCCTCAAAGTTGGCTCCAGATTTAGGCAACTTGCCAGGCAGTGAACCTCCCAGTGTTGACATGACATTCCAGCAGCTTCCATCTTACAGCACTTTCTCTTCCAAAAGAGCCCAGGCAGTGGAAGACAGAATATGAAAAACTGCACATTAGCTCATGCACTGTCCAATGCAAGGCCGATGGTCACGCCTAACCCAAGGGCATGGCAATACACAACCCTCCAGGTTCTGGGAGGAAACAGAACCAGAAATACAGGGGAGACATGCTATTTATCTGCCACAGCACTGAGAGGCTCTCCTCTCACCCACAAGTGCAGCGCTGGGCCTCATTGTCAACAGGACTGCTCATCTAACAGTCAACATGAGAGTCTGAGGCCCTTCTTAGCCATTTCTCAGCTATGTGGCATCACGCAAGTTCCTTTCTTTGGCCTCGCTGTTCCTTGGCCTTGCTGAAGCCGAGTTTGCTCATAGACTGAATGAGAAAAATGCCAATTCTGCCAACCTCACAGGGTCATGGTGACGGAAAATTCGAAGCAGGCAATGAACAGGAATGTTTCTCCACAAAGTGTGTTCCTCTAACGTGGTAGTTTTTCAAGTCATCCCTTCCCTTATGTGGAAGGCAAAGAATAAAAACAGAAACACAAAACAAAATCCTAACCAGTTTCAGGCATCCTGAGTTCATATCCTAGCTCCCCCCTCTTAAAGTCACTTGATCTCTGTGAGCCTCAGTTTACCTGTCTCTCAAATGGGTGGCGATGTTCGTCCCACCCATCCCTATATGAGACACTGAATGTGAAAGCACTATGTAGACTGTAAAAATCTCTGCATATGTAGAGAATCTTTATCCTCCCTTCCCTCTTGTACCTGGGATCTTCCCTCTAATCACATTCCATTCCCTTCAACTTTTCAACAAAGTCTCCCACCTTCAAAGGGCCCTTCTTCAGGCTTAACCCCCTTTCTCACACACATGCTGAACTTCCCACCGCATCTCTTTACTGACCATCAGACTTCCTGAAAATAAGGCTACACACATGCCTGGCCTCCATTCCTATCTCCCACTGACTCTCCCGACACTTCCTGTTTAGTTTCCACCCTATCTGTGAAGAGTGCCCCTTTAAAAGGCTGCAGAATCTCTCCATTTTCTGTGAGTCTTACTTTTCCTTGCCCTATCCTTGCCCTACCTGCAACATTTGACAGCAGGGACCACCATCAACCCCCATCTAATCTGAATCGCTGTGCATCCTACCAGCACTCTTCAGGTGCTGCTGGCTGTCTCTGTAACATGTCTCTGTCCTGCTAATTAACTCACTGAAACTTTGCTCATGCCCATCTCGGACTTTCCTCACTACCTCGCTTGCACGTTTCCATGATTCCATTCTTTACAGGCTCTACGCCTGAAACAGCTGTCATCCAACTCCTCTTCTCCATCCTCACTGCTCCTGCCCTGCCCAAGCCCCCACTCATCTCTGCTGTGAACTACTCTAGTAGCTACCTGACTGGCTGTTCTTCATTCTGCTATAAAATGAGAGTGTAATAATATATAGACCACCAAGGCTTATTGTAAGAGAAAAATTATTCTATGAAATTAAATAAAGTTGTACCACAGGGCACCTGGTACTTATTACATATAGTTCCTTTCCCTCTCCCTGATTAAAATACTATCTAGTTTTCTTTCCAGAATTTGGCTGGTTACAATTCACCTTAAAAAAACCTTTCAAGCTGTTTTCTTCAAACTCTGGTCCAAATATGTCTTTCAAGCCTCATATTCAGGGGCTCTCACACCACTTCCTCATGTCTCTATCTAGAAGAACCTAGAAGAGACTATCCAGTGCTCCTCAAACATGCCACCCACCTGTATCTAGATTGCACTCCTTCCTCCACCTGGAATCTATTTCTTCTGTTCTCTGGGGGAAAAAAATTTCTTTTTCTCCCCTCCACATCTCAATGTAAATATTAAATCCTGTACAAAGCTTTCTCCCACCTGAAGCTCCT